GTTGCTAAAAAGAACATTATTTGGTGTAATGAAATGTGTTTATGTGGTTTAAGGTTCAAAAAGATCCGGCGATCCACAGCGCGAAGTTGATGTATTTCCTCAGCGACCAGCACGGATCAGCTCTAGGCATGACGAAGCGGATATCGTCCTCTTTTGGAAGGCCAAACAAAGTAGTTTCGCTTTCACAATGAAACACAGCATCTTCACGACATGGCGGCAGCAACAATACTACAGCGAGAATCAGTGTTGCCAACTTCTTTCAATAGAAAGTAGCTAAAGCCAGTTTGAAAAGTCGCTAAATGTCGCCAGATGACGTCATACGCTAGTTAGCATATTCATGACGTCATCGCGTCATGTTGCATTTTAATGCAGCCAAATTCTCAATAAAAATGTTTTCATTTATATATATTACTGTTTCTGTTGTCAGACAACAGAATAAATATGAAATAGTGACTGAAACGCAGCCCTTTAAGTCCATTACCAGCTCTCCCTTCCAAAACGTTAATCTGCACAAAAATCCTGATTTATATTTGAGCCATCGTTTGATGAAATAAAACGCAGACAATTCCTGTGCGGTGATTTTGGCTATATTTGCATGTCAAATTAGAGAAGCAACATAATATCTATTTTAACTGAAGGCGCAGCTCCTCTCAGCCGCTCACTGAGCAGAGAGAGAGAGGGAGGTGCAGAGGTGCTGACCTCGCGCCGTTGCGGCACTACCAGCGATCACAGAGACTCGTTAAGGTTTGTCTAAGAAGTCGCTAGATTTGTCGCTAGTCGCTTTTTTGGGAAAAAGTTGCTAGGGGGGTCTGAAAAGTCGCTAAATCTAGCAACAAAGTCGCTAAGTTGGCAACACTGGTGAGAATAAAAGTTACGCCTTCTTTCTTTGCGTGAACATTTGGGCGGCGTTATGCAAATCTTCCCCACATCGTGACGTAGATATGTGGGGGTGTGTTAGAATGAGCCGTTTTAGGTAGGCGTGGTTGACTCTTAACTTTTATAAAGAATATCTCTTTGGATTTGAGACTTTAGTCTTTGCAACTTTACAGATCTTCTTTATGCACCAAGAGCTTGTAACACTCCAAAGAGAAAGGAAAAATTAAAATCGCATCATATGACCCCTTTAATTTAGAAAAACGTTTGGAGCATTTTTTGTTCGTTTTTTGTTTGTTACAAGTTTTTGTTTTTTAAAGTAACGACCAAGCGGCCAGCGGCAGACAGTGAGCTGATCATAGCCTATGTTTGATCAATTTAGCCTTCTCAAATTATCACGACTTGCCTAAAATAAAATCTATAGATATAAAACAGTTCAAGCATATAACAATGTTTTAACGTTAAACCTAGATAAATGTACGCTGTATCCAATAGTTTGTGCGGCGAGTGCAAGCTAAAGCTCGCTTTGCAGGACATGGATGCGCCAGCGCAATCACACAGCGGCATATTTTTTCAGTGCATATGCTGTCATTTTTGCTCATAAAGGTAAGAGTAATACATCATTCGGAACTGTAAAGGGTCTACTTTTATTTGTGTGCACTCACAATATCAACAAAACGTTGTGCTTTTATAAAATAATGAAAACAAACATTATGCACTTTCTGCCGTCTCGTCTTGAACAGGAGCGCTTCACAAAAATGAACCAAACTCAGCAAACAGATGCCTCACAGACATGATAAATATATCTATAGAAAGCTTTAAATTACTACTTAATGAAATAAAACAAATTGAAAACAAAAACTCTTTCATCATAATCATAATCCGTAAAGATGCACTTCTTTCTAAAGGTGTGTATAATGAGGAGATGGCGAGTCAGAATCGACAACTTCATCCTTGCGACACAGACTCAGAAAACACTAGTTTATTAGTAAATAATTCAAATATCTCCTTACTATTTCCCCCCGACACATTCATGGTAATTACTTTTGCTGGGGCTTTGCTAGCCTATTGCGTGCATTTGAACGCAGATCTTTTCAGCTGCGCTGACTGCACGCATGCTGCTGCTGCTGGACACTAAACATCGTCGAGCCGCTCTTGACAGTCGCGGTATAGCATGGTTTCGTGTTGTTTCCACCAGAGCGGCAATTTTTTTTCATCACTAATTGATGGATATCTAAAATATAAAAATAAGGATAAGCCTAAAACAGGCCCGCGTCTGAACTATGACGTGAAAATTGGCCCGAAGCCTGGCCCTAGGGGCGTAAAAAAGTTGGGGTCCGTCGGGCACGGCATGAAATGCAGGGCTCTAGTTTCTGGTTCTGTTGACACATGTTGACTCACGTGAGCCGCCTGCTGGTGCGTGCGCAAGTAACACCCGTCTACAATTATTCTCTTCAAACGCAGGATGAATTTATTTACGATGCTTCCTGCTGGGAAAAACGTTTTCATGTCTGGAAATTTCATAGTTATTTTGTTTTCAACGAGGATAAATGAAATAACATAGTTGTACAGCATAAGCTATGCATGAAGACTCTTGCTTTAACAAAGGCTACTTAACCAACTTGAACATTTGCAGGTATGAGTCCGACTAGCATGGAAATCATCATGTTAGCTGAAATTTAGTGTTTGTTAGTGCTTTCAAATTCCATGGTGTGCATGACTGCAGTTGTAAGTTTTCTAGGGGAAAATGAGCCTGAAAATTTAGAAATTAACATGAGAGTCCCCACACTCCGGATCAGTCAATTAAATAAAGAAAGATAGCATTTCACACGCATTTCGACATGTAGGCTTATTTTAAAATAGACTAATATGTATATGGGGTAAATTTTTTTAATGTTGTGTATAAACTATATTTATTTTTACTTGTACATGTTAAAGAAATAAAAAAAATAATAAAAAAATAAAACTGTAATACTACACTGTATAGCCACTAGATGTCTGCATAGCCTTAGATGGTGAAACAAGACATGATTTTTAATCGTTTCAAATAGTTTTTACTATAGTTTTTATTAGTTTTAATTTTAAAGTCATAGTTAAATAAATGTAGGCTACTTAGATATAGCTTTTTTTACTTATTTACATATGTAACTTGAAGTAATCCAAAAGTAATCAGATTACATTACTTTTATATTGTGGTACTTGGATTACGTTACTGAATACTTTTTTAATGAAGTAATTTGTAACTGTAACGGAATACATTTTAAAAGTAACCATCCCAACCCTGGGTGTGTGATAGAGTAAACAGTAATAGCACGTGCAGTGGCAGCAGTGACAGCCTCCCCCAGGTCCTAATGCCCGCTCAGTAACGAGTTTTAATCTGTAGGGGGTGCTGTTTGCCTACTTCTAATTAAATTAAAAGTAAAATAGCCTACACAAATAACATTTAGGCTGTGTTTCTGATTAAATAAAGCAGTAATTGATGTCATAAAATAATGAGTATGTTTTGATTTAAAGGTCAGAAACTATATCTTACATGAAAAAAAATCACAAACATGACACTTGTAAATTAAATAATTTTATACATACTGATTTATTATTTTTTATTTTTTAAACACATCATAAGCTCTAAAAGATTTTCAGAGTTTTTACAACTCTTTTGCTTTAGACCATCTACAAATGTTAAATCTTAAAATAAAATGTTAGGGTTAACACTGCATCTTTCTGGGGGCAAAAATGCAGCGATTGAAATTTGATTGATTTTCAAAGCTTCAATGTACCGTCAAAAAACCTTAATTATTGTTTATTTAATTCTAACAAATAAGTTCTTGTTAAAAACTAACCAAAATTTAAAATATTTTGCTTATAATGTCTGCGCAGGAGAGACTTGGTGTTGTTTCCAAACAAAAGGAAATATATCGGTATCGGCCTAAATAGTTGAAAAATATCAGCATATCGGATATCGGCAAAAATCCAATATCGTGCATCCCTACCAAGAAAATGTATAAAATGCAAAATAAGTCCATTTTGAATGCATGCTGACTTGAAAGAGATCTTCTGATCTTGCTTGAAAGGCTTTGCGTGGCTAAATAGCCAAAAGAGTAGAGTGAGAGAGGCGTAATCAGGCCAAGAAAATGTGTTTAGCATCTACTCTAGTTCCTCCTGAAAGGAGATGTGAGCAACAGACCACAGGAATCCCGAGCTGACCATCTTTTCTAAGTCAGCATGGGAATGTATCATCACGTAAATGGGCGGAAGGAAGAGGCCTCTTGAAAACCACCGTGACCTTCATTAGGACCACAGTCAGATGCAGGAGAACCAGGCAAAAAGTTACCATGATATATTAGTAGACTTTTGTGATTAGACAGCATTTTTAGTCCATACATACATCCATCCACCCACCTACCTATCATATTTAACATACATTAAAAAAAAAACTACAAATAAATGTATATGATTTGTATGTAATTTATAATTGTATACATTATAAAAATGAGTAAAAAAGGAAAGATAATTTAAAACTACATATAACTTTTATAAAAAAAAAAAAATTGACAATGCATTACACTGTAATCACTGTACAGTTTTATTTTTCTATCTGAACATCACTATTGAGAATAATGGAAATTATTATTTTTTTAAATTAAAGTATAACATCTGGAGGCATTACATAAGAATTTTGGGGGAAATGTGCATTAATTTCACAAAAACAATGTCACATAAGTTAGAACTAGTTACAACCACATAAAACCAGTTTGTGCTTGATTTTTTGCTTCTAATCAACATGGTTATGTTGGTCCACCAACACCAAACTACCTCTAATTACCAGTACTAACCCTAACCGTAATCTAATTTGCCACAGAAAATTCCAAGCTTTTCAGATGCCTGCAGATCATTCCAGTAGCGTGCTTTGAAGTGTAGCATTTTTCTCATGTGCTGTCAATGCTGGCTTTCATACAGATTATCCACGCTCCACTATTTGGCCTTGTCTGTCACTAATGCAGACTGTAGAGCCTAACATCATCACATATGTTGTCAAAGAGCCTTTGTGTGTTGTGGAACCCAGGGAGCCTTCATCCACTGATCTGACCTGACCTCTCTGTTTGTTTTCCCCTTGTCCAAACCCTTAGTCACCCACCACGATCCTGAGAACACCTTCAACAGTATTATCGAGCCGCCCTCCGTGGTGGACCAGCCTTGTCCATCATGGTCATCCCAGGAGTCCTTCTCTTCCTTCGAGACGAGCGAAGATGGGCCTATTTACTGCGTACCCCACGAAGGTGAGTGGGAACTAGTGCAGATAAGCCATCTGTTTGTGCAACATGGAAAACAGATAAGGGAGTTAAGAAATCTCCAGACAATTTTATTAAATGACCCCATTCTGTGGTAAACGGTTGCCCTCTGGGTGTGTATATCACGTGCGTTGAGATAATACAAACAGTAAATGCTATAAATGGCCAAGTCAGCAGATTCAGCACTTTCAGGATGTGACTCAGGATTTTCTGCATAAACTGAGGTGTGGGAGATTGCTGGAAAACTGTTTAATCTTAATGTACACTTTTAGTGTTTCCTAAAGTATGCAATAATCTTTAGGTGTCCTTATAATTTTATTCTAGATGTCTCTATAATAATCTATGCTCGGTTAGTTGTTTTTAAAAACATTTCAGCACAGTCAAAGTTTACTAGCTTAAGACTTACTGAATGATGCACTCTATATACTGTCACTGCAAAATAACTACGTTCAGAAATGATCAGGAAAGAAGGGATATGTTTACGTATATGTATATATATATATATATATATATATACACACACACACACACACACACACACAGTTGTGGTCAAAATTATACACACACTTTGCAGTATCTGCAAAATGTTATTTTACCAAAAAAAAAAATAAAGTTATTTTTTATTTTGCTTGAAATGCAAAAATTACCAAAAAAATTACATAGTTTTGTACTAAATATATCTTTTTTTAATTTTAATGATAATGACATCTTTATTTTAAGTTAATAATGTGTAATTTGCATTTTAGAAACAATATATCCAGGTATTTTGTGTATTTTTTGCTATACCAAATAAAAAAAATCGAAATAAAGTAGGGCTGTCATCATTAATGCGTTAACGCATGCGATTAATTTTACAATCCTTAACGCGTTAAAAATTACTGAAGCACAATTTCTATGTTAACCCTTTAGCCCAATTTTGCTTCTCTGTTTGCGATTAGATCATTTTAAGCTGCTAAACTCCAGGAAAGTTTTCAGTCCAATGCTCCAGTAAGCGAATGCAGTCAAACAATCCGTCCAAAACGGCCCTGATATAAAGTAAACCAGGCTGATTACATCAGAGATTGCAAAGAGAACAGAGACTCGCGTTGCGTTTTAAGTGAATTATTCATTCCAGTTTGTTTCGCTTTAAAACACGAGCTCTGTCATATTCTGTGATTGTCTCTGAAGAGTGCGAGCCCTCACATGTCACGCGTTTGTGTGAAGTACAGACCGAACGGATTGTCAACACATCCCACCGCTGTATGGCCAGATGAGACGCAAACTACGTTTTCTCGACTGGATAACCAGTC